AAACTAACAGGAATTCAGAGAAAGAAAAGAGAAAAACAAGGCAGTGGAGAAAATTATCAAAACACCATGACGAGAACATTTTCCAGAACTGAAAGACACACCTTTTTTCAGATCAAGCATTCGTCAGAATGGCTGAAATTAATAGAGATATTAGGATAATAATTCCATAAAAGGAATATCCTAAAATCTTTTGGAGGTTGTCTGAAACCAACAAAACAAGCAAACAAAAAGGAAAGACAAAAGATCACGTACAAAGAGAAGAACCAGAATAGTGTAACACTTTTTAATAGCAACGGTAGAAGCTAGAAAATAATGGTGCACTGGCTTCAAAATTCTAGGGACACTTGTTTTCCTACCTACAAGCCAGCCAACTCAAGAGGGAGAAAATAGCATTTTCAGACATGGTCTAATACCATGTCCCCTTTCTCAGGAAGATACTCCATTAAAAAGAGGGAGTAGACCAAATCTTTCTTCAAGCTACTAGATGTCAGAAAACTACAGGTCCAACACAGGGGAGACAAAAAGGGAACTACCAGGAAAATGCCAGAAGGTCACCCCAGGACAACAGCTGTGCATCAGGCCTACAAGGCAAGTCTCCACCCTGACTCCAGGAGAGGTGTCCAAGAAAAAGGTGTCAAGAAGAACGTTAGAGTTCTGTCAGAAAACTTAGAAAGGCTAGAGCAAAAGGAAAGCACACGAGCAAGAGGCTACGCTCCAGGCAGCACAAGAAAGAAAGCGGAACCGTTGCGTTGGAGTCCTCAGCTGTGGGCCACAGCTCCACGCTCACGATAAGGACAACCAAAGCTGACACCTCGTCAGGGGTGAAGCAGCAGTTTGTGCACATGGCCTGACAATGAGAAAGGGTGAAATCTTCCCCTTCCGTGTAATAAGTCAGCAGATAATGCCCAATAACAAAAAATGCTAAAATGGCAGTATATGCAGAGCATTTCAGAAGATGGAGGAAAACAGCAAAAAGAGCCAAAGACCCAGAGGTGGCTGCCTGAGGAGCAGGACTGGGGCATAAGGACAGGCTGTGGGTCAAGCACCTATTTCTTATTACATAAGTCTTATCGTTAAGAACTCTATGTAAGTCTTATCATAAGTTTCTTACTACGATCTTTGAAAAAATCTGCACAGAACGTTACTTTGATGGAAAAAAAGTTTAAATTTTTAAAGTATGAAACAAAACCAAGGAACGTACGAAACAGCAGGCAAGAAAACTGGAGAGCGTGGGCTGCAGCAGGAAAATGACAGGAAGGCCACCGTTCTGCAAAGCCCCCGCCGTGTCCAGGTGAGAGGGAAGTCCTTCCTCTGACAGCCGGTGGAGAGGCTGTGTGCTGAGAAACGGGGAGCACAGGAGAAGTAAGGGTAGAAGAGAAACGTATCGATGTAGCATCAACAGATAGAGAGGGCCAATCAGGAAACTCGGAAAGAGCTAATTAACAGGCAGGACAACAGCCCAAATATCTGTTCACCTGCGTATTTATGTGTTTAGTCCACGAATGCTGGCTCCTTGGGAGTGTCACAGCCCCCCGTGGAATTAGAAGCACTTTGATATTGTGTTTAGGTTTTAATTTTGAAATTATTATGAAACACGCAAATAGCAAAATACAGAAAATAATAATGATCATTCAAGTATCCACTATTCGGCTTTTCCAAATATTAACATTTTTTTGTCATAATTGCCCCTAATTTTTATTTTATTATTTTTTTAAATATAATTTACTGTCAAACTGCTAACATACAGTGTGCAAAGTGTGCTCTTGGTTTTTGGGGTAGATTCCCATGGTTCTTCGCTTACATACAACACCCAGTGCTCATCCCAACAAGTGCCTTCCTCAATGCCTGTCACCCATTTTCCGCTCTCCCCCACCCCCATCTAATTTTCTTTAAAGAAATAAACACTATGGGGACGCCTGGGTGGCTCAGTCGGTTAAGCATCTGAATTCAGCTCAGGTCATGAGTTTGAGCCCCGCATCCGGCTCTGTGCAGACAGCTCAGAGCCTAGAGCCTGCTTCAGATTTTGTGTCTCCCTCTCTCTCTCTGCTCCTCCCCCACTCTCCCTCTGTCTCTTTCTCTCAAAAATAAACAAACATTACAAAAAATTGTTAAAAAAAAAAAAAAGAAAGAAATACTATGAATATTGTTGAAACCGTCTTCAGACCATTCCCTAACCCTACCCCCTAACTGCCTCACAGGACGTAACCATTAATCGGAATTTGACAGTTAATGTCTCCCTCCACTCATCTCTAAAACGAAACAATGGTTTGAATGAATTCTAACGCCTCTTTGTTGGTGTCTTAGGAGTTCTTGATGTTCTGTAATGAAAGTGCAGAAGCCTGCAGTGCTATGAAATACACAAAAATGTTTCAAAATAATTTCAAACCTCAAAAACAGACTGAATCACGACGCAGTCGACGCTTTGGCAAAAATAAAAACCATAGTAACTTTATTATGATAATGTCAGTAAAAACGTTATTATCAATACCTAGGGCATATAAAAACCTAAGTTCAAGGATTTCACTGTGGTTTCCTCTCATTGTATCCGTTGGCTCCAAGGAACAATAAGGAGGTAGTTGAGCGAAACATCCTGGTTGGAGTTCTTACTGCCTAAATAACCAGGTCAGTACCGCACCTGCCTGCCACGTGTCACTGTATTCAGCTCTACCAGGCAATCACAGCAAAAATACTCTTTGAAATATTTGTAGACGGCACAGGGAATAGAGTCAATAATCCTGTAATAGTGCGCAGTTCAAAGAGTGACAGAGGGTAACTTGTGGTGACGTATATATTAGCGTATATAGTTTTGTAAGGTATATAGTTGTCAGACCACTACGTGGTACACCTGAAACAAAGAGATGTCAACTGTACTTCAGTTCAAGGCAAAGAATAGTCGGTAATGTTCTTTTTCCTTAAAAATGTCCTTCATGATGTCACAAAAAGTTATTTGCGCTGCATCTCGACCCTTGAGTGCACATCTCCTTTATCTTCTGGGTGGTAAAACAGGAAGCATGTAAAAGGCATCTCTGCTGTGTACCACAGTAGGATGCTTATCTCAAAGAAAACACGTGCATGATTATCTGAGCTGTGAGCCAAACGAGTTAATAACTCCTGGAATACCTTTGTTACATGGAAGGACAACTGACCAGCCCGCTATCCGGACCCGGGTGTTTGGCAGACAGTTTCTCTACAACACTCAAGTGAGAAGGTCATTTCAGGAGAAACAACTGACAGTATTTGTTGCCAAGGATAGCCGTCAAGCTTCCAAAATAAAAATCAAAATTTTGGAAGACTTGTTCCTACCGTGAACTTCATAGCTTCCTAATACTTAAAGATTTTTCTGATAAGATCAGTGGTGATATTAACACCTGGGAGGTCTTGAAATTGCACAATAAAATGTGTTAACGTTTGTAATATCTTCATTATCTAATGATCCAGAATTTTCCAAATGACCAACAATTAATACAGTAAAAGGATACATGGGCAAGGATTCAAAGTGCAAGAAAGACCAAAAGAACCTAACGTAAGAGAATTTTTTAAAGTTCAACGACAGGGTTTTGGATTCCATACTGGAACCAACATTTAAGAGATGACCACTTGTCAAGTTTTGGTATAGGATCAAAGAAGACTATTCACAATAATCTGAGAAGACAATTAGAATGCTCTTCTCTTTTCCAACTACATACCTGCACACACTTGATAATAAATATTTACTAGGTTATTCTTTCTGGATGTTAAAAACCACAAACACGTAATCACAGTGGTAAGTTACCATAGTTTAATCTGGGATCATTAGCAGTCATTTAGAAAAAATGAAAAATTCATTATTTATTTAAAAGTTACATTCTTGGGGCGCCTGGGTGGCGCAGTCGGTTGAGCGTCCGACTTCAGCCAGGTCACGATCTCGCGGTCCGTGAGTTCGAGCCCCGCGTCCGGCTCTGGGCTGATGGCTCGGAGCCTGGAGCCTGTTTCCGATTCTGTGTCTCCCTCTCTCTCTGCCCCTCCCCCGTCCATGCTCTGTCTCTCTCTGTCCCAAAAATAAATAAACGTTGAAAAAAAAAATTAAAAAAAAATTAAAAAAAATAAAAGTTACATTCTTCTGCAGTTATAGTCTCATTAATCTGCAATAAATATGTAAGTATCAGAGGCTTAATTTACCACAGAATAAAGAATGATCATTGCTCTAAAAAAGAAATGAATATAGTAAATTCTTAAACCTGCTTTAGGTATACTCAAATAAAGTCCCTTCTCCCCAGTTATAAAGGAGCAGACGCTTTTAACATTTTACTTTTTTTTAATTAAAAATTTTTAAAACTTATTTTTGAGAGAGAGAGAGAGAGAGAGTGAGTGAGCAGGGGAGAGGCAGAGAGTGATGGAGACACAGAATCCAAAGGAGGCTCCAGGCTCTGAGCTGTCAGCACAGAGCCCGACGCAGGGCTCGAACTCAAGAGCCACGAGATCATGACCCGAGTCGAAGTCAGACGCTTAACTGACTGAGCCACCCAGGCGCCTCTAACATTTGATTCTTGAAAGCCAACACTAATCACCCAGAGGACATGGTGTTAGTGGATTTAAACCTTAGTTCTTAAACTGCTAGGGAAATGTCTTTTCACAGAAAAAAAAAAAAAACCCTCAACTTTTATAAATTTCAAAAGAAATAATTTAATCTGACTGAACCTCTGCAGTTTGGAAGACACCAAATAACAAACTTGCCACAGACAGGTTAAGAAGCAGAAGTGTTTTTAAGAGAAATATTCTTCTTACACAGATCCATCATCCAGTTAATGAATATCATAAATCACTTGTTTCAAAGGCAGGGACCTTGAAAAAATTTTCAGAGTAAAACTGATAATGTCCTTGCTTTAATAAAGTCCTATTACCCCGCCCTCTGAAAGAGAAAAGTTATACACTGTGGGCTTTTAGGTCAGAATATTCCAGAAACAACCAGAGACTGACATCCTCTCCCCTTTCTAATCATCTACCCATTTCGGTATGCTTACCTTTGCAGTTCATTGAGCCCCCTGGCAGTTGGCAGGCAGGGATTTTGCCTTAGGAAGTTTTGTTTTAAGTTGAGGTGCGTGAGGTCCTGGCTGTAGAAGAGGTTGGCAGGCAGGTGCTCCAGGCTACAGCACGAGAGGTCCACTGAGCTAATGCGCTGTGAAGCCACCTGGAGGGGATAAAACCCAGCCCAATTTTAATACCATCCATTTATCCCACAGATGCCCTCTCTGGACAGAAACACGATACCCCCCTGGGAACACAGACCTACGGCGCACGGGGCACGTGTAGCCCAACTATAAACGAGTATTTACTTAATACGGAATTGAGCCAAGTACTGTAAAGGCAGAAAACAGCATCCCTGCCTGGAAGGTACTCGCAGTAACCGAGTATAGGAGACAGGTTGCAAAGAGCACAGATTATCCTATCGGGTTCAGGGGTATCAGTCATCTCCTCCCACTGTAGGGGTTAAGTTCCTGAAAACATTCATGGTAAGAGAATTCAGAGCTAAATAATATAAGACTTGAGAGGAAATACAAGGTTAGGAGATAGACACTAAGATCCAGATGGAACCTATCAAAGCCCTTGTATACACTGAATTAAAACAGCACAAATAAAGAAAGCAGCATCGATGGCCTCGTACACGTCTTTAATAACAACGGTAGCATATGATCAGACTCCACTGTGTACTTGCTCTCAACTTCTCTGGCTGTCTCTCCCACAGAGCTTCGTACATTCACTGTGCTTTGCTCCACGTAAGTCTTCCCGGTTAAATGACTCTTACTGTGGGCCAGAGTCCCAGGTCTGCAGACCAACTAGCATGCAGGAGACAGAATAGGTGCTGGATGCCCTGTATTTCTCAAACGCTTTCTCCAAAATTCCAGGTCACGTGGTGCCACTTTATGACTGGGCATATTAGTGACGGTCCTGGCAGTCACCGTTGGCTGAATGCTGTTTCTGCACCGGCATGTAGATGAAGGTGTCGTCCTGATGTCTGTTACACAGGTGAGAAAAGTGCAGCTTGGAGGGTTCAGTGATCTGTTCAAGTCCTCTCAGCTCCTAAGTGGGGGAGCTGGGAGTCCCAGTCCTGAGGAGCACGCTCTGCGTCCTTCTGTAATTGGGAAACAGAAGGCTGGAGTTTGGTAACAGAAAAGGACATCAGCCCCACTTACACACACCTTGGCTGCTTCTCTCCTCGCAGAGGTCATGGGAGTATTATTCTAAGCTCTGGGTTCATTCTCCCGCGTGCTCTTTATGTTCACCACCACTTTATGGCAGAAACTGCACTCCTCATCTGTGATCAGTCTGATGTCCTTTTCTGTTACCAAATCCAGCCTTCTGTTTCCCAATTACAGAAGGACGCAGAGCGTGGTCCTCAGGACTGGGACTCCCAGCTCCCCCACTTAGGAGCTGAGAGGACTTGAACAGATCACTGAACCCTCCAAGCTGCACTTTTCTCACCTGTGTAACAGACATCAGGACGACACCTTCATCTACATGCCGGTGCAGAAACAGCATTCAGCCAACGGTGACTGCCAGGACCGTCACTAATATTATCCCTACTACCCGTTCCAAAGAGACTGATTCGCAGCTTCTATCTACTGAAATCCAAGTTCTCCCGATGCTCAGAAGGTATTCAAAAGTAAGCCTGCATAAAACCTATTCTGCTGATGGCACATTTGAGGTTACAAAGACATTACGGAGCACACAGGAGAGCTGAGGGGAGACAGGGATGGGAAAGGCCTGGCAGGGCCCAACTCAAAGACTTGACAGAGGAGGTATGAGTTTGCATTTTAGCAGTTACATCTTTCCTTGAGTTTTCGCTATTAAATAAGAAAGAGAAGAAACGGTTTTCCACACATGCAAAAAAAAAGAAAATCCCAGTCAGGGCCAAATCACCCATATATACCAAAAGATGTAAAAAGAGCCCCGGGGCATGTAATGGTCCTAAAAGGCAGGGGCAAACGCACCACACAACCTGCTTGAAGGAAGTAAGGTACACACACGGTGAGCACGTAAGGGCCCGCCACACCTCACATCTCCTGCGGTACAACAGCAAGGCAGACACGGTCTCTGCCCTGCCCGAGCACACCTCCAGAGAAGGAGGGGGAAACCAAGCACCACATGATAACAGCTACAAGAGCTGTTAAGTGCCAGGGACAGGGCATGATCTAAGAAGTCAGGGAAGGCTTCCGAGAGGACCTAATGTCCAAGCTCAAACTTGAAACTCGAGTGGAAATCTGTGTTTTTGTCTGCCCCAAATCCTTTCCCCACCTGCTCCCATGGCAATCCTTCCGACACAGGAGACTCTGACAGGAGCTGCAAACAAAGCATGCCGACCCCCAGGCCACAGGGGGAGTAGGCGTGAGCAATCAGGGTACCCCATCGACCGAGCCCACGGACTGATCCAACAGGTACTGTACTGACTGGCACGTGAGCCGAGGTAGGCTAACCAGAGGCCCTCTCTGGGATTTACATATTCTGCAGCTGGAAGAGAGAGAACACACACACACACACACACACACACCACTCCATATATTATGTACAAATAGTTATAGAGAGGTAACTTTTAACCACATAAACCACGCACTGATCACGTGCCAAATTACCGATAGTGATTGCTTCTATGTGGGTAGGGAGGAAAAAGGACATAACAATGGGAAGATAGGAGATTTGGCGTTTATCTGAAATGATTATTTCCTTATAAGAGAGACAACGGACGATATGAAGGAAATATGGAAATATGTTAACAACTGGGGAAGACAAGTACACGGAAATTGTAATATTATCCTGTGTGCTCGGGGCGCGTGGGTGGCTCACTTGGTTAAGTGACCAACTTCGGCTCAGGTCATGATCTCACAGTTCATGGGTTCGAGCCCCACGTCGGGCTCTGTGCTGAATACTTGCTCAGAGCCTGGAGCCTGCTTCGGATTCTGTGTCTCCTTCTATCTCTGGCCCTCCCCCGCTTGTGCTGTCTCACTCTCTTAAAAATAAATAAGTGTAGGGGCGCCTGGGTGGCGCAGTCGGTTAAGCGTCCGACTTCAACCAGGTCACGATCTCGCGCTCCGTGAGTTCGAGCCCCGCGTCGGGCTCTGGGCTGATGGCTCGGAGCCTGGAGCCTGTTTCCGATTCTGTGTCTCCCTCTCTCTCTGCCCCTCGCCCGTTCATGCTCTGTCTCTCTCTGTCCCAAAAATAAATAAACGTTGAAAAAAAAATTAAAAAATAAATAAATAAATAAATAAATAAATAAATAAATAAATAAGTGTAAATATATATATATATATATCATCCTGTGTGCTCTTCTCTGTGCATGTGTATGTGTGTTTAATGTGAAATGTGAAAACAAAATGTAACTTCAATTAACATTTCAGTGAGAAGAAAACGGGTAAGAGCAGTCTTCTGGTTTTCCTGGCATTCAGTGTTCCACTAGGTGGTATCCCGGGGTCAGCAATTCCTCCTGCAACCAAAGGATCCCCTGAACCCCAAAGGGCTGAATGGTGGCCCCAAGAAGGATTTGGGGCAGAATGAAACACAGATTTCCCCATCCTAGTCCCTGAAATCTGTAAATATTATCTCCTATGGCAAGAGTGAATATTACCCTGTATGACGAAAGATGTGATAAGAATCTTGACAGGAGGTGCTTCTCCTGGATTATGCAGATGGGCCCTAAGTGTGATTATATGTGTCATTGTAAGAGAGAGAGGTGGAGGGAGTTTTCAGAGAGAAGTCCATGTGACTCCGGGGGCAGAGACGGAGTAACAGGGGCCACAAGTTAAAGAATGCTTAGAGCCACCAGAAGCTGGAAGAGGCAAGGAATGGATTCTCCCCTAGCACCTTCAAAATGAGTACAGTCCTGCCAACATCTTGATTGTGGACTTCTTGCTTCCAGAACTGCATAAATTTCTGTTGCTTTAAAGCCACCAAGGTTTGGTTAACTGGGAAACTAATACACCTTTCATAATTTTTTCCACAATACTATTCATTTTCATTCATTCACCATGTTTACTGGATATCTACTATGTGCCAATTAACTGACGTCGGTAAGCACATGGCATGCCTTCAGTAAACAAAATGAAGATCCCTGCCTTCTTTAAACTTAGATCCTGTAAATAAGTAAATTATATGTTAAAAACTGGCAAATACTATGGAAAATGGAGCAAGGAAAAGGGGGTCAAGATTGTTGGAAAGGTGGTAGGTTATATTTAAATAGGTTGGCCAGGGGGCGCCTGGGTGGCTCAGTCGGTTAAGCGTCCGACTTCAGCTCAGGTCATGATCTCATGATTCGTGAGTTCGAGCCCCGCGTCGGGCTCTGTGCTGACAGCTCAGAGCCTGGAGCCTGTTTCAGCTTCTGTGTCTCCCTCTCTCTCTCTGACCCTCCCCCATTCATGCTCTGTCTCTCTCTGTCTCTCTCTGTCTCTCTGTCTCAAAAGTAAAATAAACGTTTAAAAAAAAACAAAAAACTTAAATAGGTTGGTCAGGGCGGGCCTCACTGGAAAGGTAATATTTAGACATGATGGACATGAAGAAGGTAGCTGAAAGGATTTGTCTAGAGGAACACTCCAGGCAGAGGAAGCAGCAAGCGAAAGGCCCTAGAAACTAGAAAGGGATGTGCCTGGCATGTTCGAGGAACAGCATGGAGACCAGTAAGGTAAGGGAGAATGAGATCAGAATGGTAAGGTGATCAGAGAGGCAATGGCAATGAGATCAGAAAGGTAAGGTGGGGAGGGGGGGTGGGGGGGCAGCAAATCCTTCAGGGACTTTCAGGGCACTGTAAACACTCGGGCTTTTAACGTGAGCAAACTGGGAGGTGTGGAAAGGTTCCGAAAAGTCCCTGTCTCTAGACTGGAAGCTCCCCAAGGGCAGGGACTCTTGCCTGTTTTGTTCACGGATACACCAATGCTCAGCACTTGCCGAGACCTCGGAGAAGTACGTGCCAGACGAACGGCCCTAGACTTCACAGCCCTTCCTTCGTCGCCAGCTCACATCTGCCCCACCCTGTGGATTCTTTCACACGGAGACAGACTACTTTGAAGAGGCCAAATTCTGTTTCGACTGAAGCATCACACTAAATGCTCTTTGGGCAACTAAAGATAATGATTCAACGTCAAGTGGGATTTGATTCCTTTCCTCATTCTGGACCACAAGCTGTCGCTGCTGGAAACAAGGGGG